AAAAGTCAAGGTGCTTCTGAATGTGAGGCAGAAAACTCCAGTGTAAAGCATACAGATGAACTTCATTGTCAGGATTTAGAAGGCCTTCTCTCTCAAGATTGGTAAAGATTGTGTAGAAGAGATCAAGCACTCCGGCATAAACATCTCGCCAGAGCCTCTCGATTCTGATTGAAAAACATATAATTATGTTAGTTTTAAAACCTTTCTATATTACTACACTTGATGCAGTCCTGTGGCCTGCAACATGCACTAGGCACAATTACTAAAGTAGAATACAAGTATTCAAAAGATACATGAATATACATCATCAGCCAGACAGATATAGGTAATAATGCAGTAGGGAGTTGATATTTTTGGGAAAAAACCCTTAAAGTTCACCCCAAAATGAAAATTCGTCCATCATTTACTCACCCTCATATCATTTTAAACCTGTATGACTTTCTTTTTCTGCAGAACATAAAACAAGATATTCTGAAGAGTGTTGGTAACCAAAAAAAAACAACTGCTGGCACCCATTGACTTGTATGGACACAAAACCAATGACAAGTCTATGGGTGTCAGCGTTTTTTTGTTACCTACATTATTCAACATTATTATTTGTTACATACATTATACTTTTGTGTTCTGCACAAAAAAAAAAAAAAAGTATTAAGTGTTGAAATAACAAGGATTTTCATTTTTGGGTGAACTATCCCTTTAAGCTTCAAAAGTAAGATGGATTTGACAATTATCCATCATAGTTTTGGGAAATGAGAAATAGAACTGTATGAAGCAATATGTTCTGTTTTCAATATTCGAAAAAAAATAATGCTCACATTACTGGTAAACAAAATCTGTTTTTCTTTGTAAAACGCATAAAACGGGGATTTACCTCTCTGGGTTAATTAGACTAATCTGGGTTCTACCAAAGTTATAGTCTTAGCACAAAATTGTCTCTGTGTTAACTTTCATGTCTACCAATCGAAACAATGTCTGATGAATGATAGAAAGTGATTTATTCCCAACAAGGGCTGTGGATATTTACCATATCACTACAATTGATATTGCATTGGACCACTTCTCTTCTCTGTCTACATGGCATCATTAGGTTCCGTCATTCAGAAACATGGCTTTTCATATCACTGCTATGCTGATGACACTCAACTCTACCTCTCATTCCATCCTGATGATCCGACGATAGCTGCTCGCATCTCAGCTTGTCTAACAGACATTTGTTGTTGGATGACGGACCATCACCTTCAACTCAACCTGGCTAAGACAGAACTGCTTGTGGTTTCAACAAACCCATCGTTTCATCACAATTTCACCATACAGTTAGGCTCATCAATCATAACTCCTTCAAAAACAGCTAGAAAACTTGGAGTTGTGATTGATCAGCTTACTTTCTCAGACCACATTGCTAAAACTGCCCGGTCCTGCAGATTTGCTTTATACAACATTAGTTACACAACCCATTTACCTAAATTCATTACTTCAGAGTTATGTGCCTCTAGAAGCTTGGCGTTCTGCAAGTGAACGGCGTATTATTGTGCCATCTCAAAGAGGCACAAAATCACTTTCACTGACTTTTACATTAACTGTTCCCTCCTGGTGGAATGACCTGCCCAACTCAATCCCAGCAGCTGAGTCCTTAACCATCTTCAAGAAATGACTAAAAACACATCTGTTCCACCTTTATTTGACCCTCTAACTCTAGCACTCTTTATTCTATTTTAGTTCTACTTTATCTATATTTGTCTTATTTTTTTTATATATTAAAAAAAAACTAGCTTTCTATTTTTTCTATTCTATCTACTTGTTTTTCTTTGTGTGTGTGTGTGTGTGTGTGTGTGTGTGTATAATATAAGATTAAAAAGCGTCTGCTAAATGACTAAATGTAAATGTAATTTAGTATTGTATCATGTAGGCTCCATTAACATCACTGAATGTTTGCATTCTTTATAATATTTTGTGTATGAGTCTCTTGATTGTTCTCATTGTAAAAAGATGAATCTCAACATCATACAGTCACTAATGGACAGATGGTGAAATATGCAGAAGATGCTGAAAAGCCAAAGATTCTGCAGGACCTGGAGGATTTTTCTGAAGATCAGCAGACAGTTTAATGGCCCAGGACAAACAAGAAACTCTTACACAACTATCACAAAACATAAAAACTGTCATTGATTGTTCAGGTAACATTGTCCACTATTAAGACTCGGGTGTATGTAAACTTTTGAACTGTGCTATTTTTTATAAATTCAGTTATTATTAAATTATTCTGTGCTGTGGTCTGTTTGTAAACATCTGTTATGTGAAATAACTTGTTTACTATATTACAAACAATCCCTAATTTTCAAAATTCCTCTTATTTTTCCAAATCATTAATTTTCCTGATTCTGCAATGGAAAACGTTTGACCGCCACTGTGTCTTATATAATCAGCAAAGTAAGTAGGAACAACTGCAGTGACCAAAAACTCTTTCAGTGTATATATGAGCACGTGTATGGATTAAGGCTGTTTTGAAAATGGCCCTTTAATTAACATAATATATGACCAAAAACAGTACAGAAACTTTAGTCTTATTAAAAATATGTATATATAAATGTTTAATGATTTGTTTAATTATTTAATTAATTTAATGGTTTCATGTTACCTCTGATTATGAACGCTCCTGCCAGCAATATGTGAATTCCTGTTGAGTCCTCTGTTAGCCACCATATAGCGTGCAACATCAACATTTTCCCCCTTTAAAACTAGTGTTGTCTGAAACAAAATAGCAATACATTAATGTTAAAGGTTGTCCTATAAGAAGTTACCATAACAGGCCTTTAAAAACCTAAAGCAAATGAGGTCTAGAGGAGTTTTAAGTCAAATCAAATTAGTTTCATAGCACAACGCTGCAAATCATTATCTTGTAACAATGGGCACAATGTGCACTACAGCAATACAACAGCCTCTATTTTTAACTAAGAAACAGCAACAAAAGAGGAACCCTTTGGTTTATGCAGGGTGAAACATGCATTTGATGTCATGATTAGAATAGATTAAGAATAGGTAAATATGGAGAAAGGTTTCGAAAAGTTACAATAATTCACAACATAAGTGTCAAATCGGTACAGCTGACAGAATGTTATAAATTACCTTATCCCATGCTGTGCCATCCTCCCACGAATTGTTCTCTCGCACACTCCAAATAAATTAGCTATATCTCCAGCGGTGTGTCCTAAAAGGAGGTGTGCCTCGATTACATGTGAAGGTAAAAGGTATGGTGGACGTCCCATGTTTGTCTCCGTTTCTGAGCGCAGGTGAAGCTGGCCTGCTGCGTCTTGAAGACCGGCGAACACAGCTGGATCAAGGTCTACATCCATATCAGCACTGAGCTGAACTTCATCATCGACTACACGTTCCAAACGAAACAGAAGGTAGTCGCTTGGTGCATGATCTATATCATTGAAGTGGACTCCGACGAATACATGTGATCTATATCACATGTATTCGTCGGAGGATGTAGTATTTATGTATTTCTACATTTATTCATTTATTTAATTCTGCATTTACGTATTTATTCATTTATTTATACTCAAGTCATTTCTCGTCCTCCATAGAGAACAGCATCACTTTCACAGCTCAATACACTTTCACTCATTTTGTTTCCAAGCACAACCGGCAGAAGACTGTGTATTAACGACAGTCATGTACAAAATCTAAAACAAATCTAAAATTCTATTACTCACACAGCACTTAGTAATTAAGTCATCTTTAGGTTCAGGAGCCCTACGCAACTTGCATACTTTGCATGTAGGGAGGACCGGCACTGCCTCAATGGGTTGATGATTTTCCATTGACCATTGTCACATGATTCTGGTCTCAATGAATTACAGTGTATATAAGTAAAGATTTTGAACATTTCGTTCATTGAGATCCAATGTGTGATTTAAGTGTTCTTCTAACTTTTTGATCAGTGTAATTAGTACTATTTTTATAATACGCAAGTATGTCTTAAATTGGGTTCATCCTCTTTCCGGATGCCATTAAAGAGGAAAGGCAGGACAGAGTGAGCACTGCTGATGATAATGCACCTATGTCTTGTTACACAGGCATTTAAAATATATTACCATCAACAAACCAGTTTTGTTTAAAAATTCCTTTACTACCATTAAAAAAAATGATGTTACATCATCTAAAACGGTCTAAAATCTCATATAATCTCACAAGATTATCTCACAAGGATTTGACTATTTTGACTTTTTATAGTGGTAATAATATTTATTCAAATATAATACAATTGATAAAATGACATTTTAAAATATTTGAAAGTTTGAAGGTCAAGATGTATACTAGATGCATAGACAGATAGATGTGGACAGAAGTATGTTAGGAGGATCAGTACAATACAATTACATATTTATTTACGGGGCATTTACTGCTTCTTAGAGGTTACTCTTTGTATTTTTCATACATAATTTTCTGTGTATGTAGCTGTTGTCTAACATCTCAGCTTCTATAATCTTCTAAAATGGTTTCCTCTGTAGGATCTGCTTTAGGGATTTTCAGTTCATAGACATCCCCTCTCCAGCTTAACCCGTCTGGATTCTAGGGGGACATTTTCCTCTCTCAGCTTTACAGCATTTATGACAGAGGTCATATTTCGGTGGTATTCACTCATCTTTCAGCAAGGTCACATGGGCCATTTGTCACTGAATGGGCTGCTATATACAGAAGAACCTAATGAGTGTCCTCTATTAAATCATTATACTTCGTAATTTACTGTCTTTGCTCTGCTTAGTCTGATAATAATTTGTGTTCATTACAGCAGTGAGAAGTTCTTATTTGACTGAGTTCAAATGGCAGAAAGAGGACTGTATTCTCTACGATCATGAACTTTAAAGCAGACAGTCGGTATTGGCCTCAGCTGCTTTGCTGGTGTCTTGGTCCAGTGAAGGAGATGGTAATAACTTAGTAAAGTCTGCTGGGTCAATAGAAAAGATCACCTGATTCTTAAAGATATTATGATTTTTATTGGGTTTCTGGTCAAGCGACAAAACAGGATTCCTAAGGGACATTTCTTTTATGCTATCACAAAACTGAATCACAGGTGGAATTAGATTTTGTGAATTATGTTAAAGTTAATCTACGAACAACATAAAAACCTACTGAAACACAAGACAAAGTTTTGACAATGTGACACCACAATAAAAACTAAATCACTAATTCCATCAACACAACACAGAGGCATAGGTAGGGCTTTTCTCAAGTAGATACTTCAGTGACAGAAGTTCATCTGTAGTATTAATGTAATGAACAGAAAAGACGACACTGTAACATCTCACTGTTACTGATTTATCATGCAGCTCAAAGCATTATGGGTAGAATCTCTCATCAGTCTCTTCTGATTCATCAACACAGTTTTACTGATGACCCAGAACCAACCCTAAACCCAGGATAGAGCGGCTGAGTGAATGTGGTCTGGACGGTGTGGACGAGGCTCATTGTGTCAGAGACGCTGTAGAAGGACAGAGTTCCTGCACTGTGATCCACAAACACTCCTATTTTCCTGCTGATGGACTTTACTGGGAGAACAGTCTCTATGTTATTGTGTCTGAATGAGTAGCTGAAGGAAGAGCAGATCAAACTCCAGGACTGATCATTATATCCAAACCAACACTCATTACCCCGTCCCTTCCTGTTGATGCTCTTATATGACACTGATATAAACACATCTCCACTCCACTGCAGCTCCCAGTAACAGCGTCCCCACACACTCTCTCTACACAACACCTGAGGACACTCATCAAATCTGTCTGGATGATCAGGATACGACTGTTTCTCTCTCACACGTGTCACCTTTCTGTTCTCCTCAGACAGACTGAG